TCATGTGATTCTAACATAAGCAATATACGCGGTTTATCCAAAGTAGTAGTAGTTGATGATGATGACGACGATGATGATGACGATGACGATGATGATTGATAAATGTGGATCAGATTGAAATGTAAATAACTTAACTACATATCTGAGAATTTGTGGATGTAGGATGCAGCGTAGTGAGTGAACAAATGAACTTGCAAGATTTCTTGTATTTTCCGCAAAAAGAAACTATAATAATATAGCACCAACCAATTAATTGTTAATTAGTTGGTTAATTAATGAATGGGGTAAAAAACAATCATCAACACATACACTAAGCATTGTACCATTAGGAGTTTTTTGAATATGTTGTAAAGTTGGAAATAACGCGTATACATGTTCAATGTTACTATTAGGACGCGTCTTTAAAACCTAATAATCAATATATATTAATTAAACATAAATATAAATAAAATGTAATTTGTATATATGATATTACCTGAGAACAAATATGCGCGCCAATAGAATGACCACATAAAACAAATTTAACCTTGGAATTATTTTTACCATTGTTAGAAAATTTTTCATGTAATTTATCAAAACATTGAATTTTATGATTGATTTGATCTTGTAAAGAATAAAGACCTTCTAATTTAGAATTATGAGGTCCATGAAAATGCCCTAAATTTGATACTAATGATAAAATTTTTTTTAAATTTTTATTTTTTCCTTTTCATTTTTCGAGAAATTTTATTATTTTCATTACCTCCAATAATATCAATATTTTTATTACGTTCGTTATGTATGGTACTTAAAAATTCAGTATAATAATTAATTAGACCAGGATTACCAGTTATCATAAAAAATACTGTTTTTTCATCATTATCGCTGTTGCTGTTACTATTGTTATTGGAAGAAGGCCACCAAACAGTTTCTGTCAAATTATTTTCTACATTCCATATGAACCTTAATGGCAAATTTTCTCTTTCATTATTATCGTTTAATACTTTAGTAAAATCAGTAATAATAGGAATAT